ATACGACTTGTTCAGAATTAACATGTGAGTAACACATTCAGAGTATGTGTAACATGTAATGTATATATGCAGAATATACAGAAAATGCAGTTCTTGTAGTTTAGTGTGTAAAGAAAAAGGAATATTACACATGACTTTAAGTTGATTTATCTTAATTTAGATTTGACTGTTTCAGTCGAATCAATTCGGGGGCATGGCCTTGGGAACAGAGGGAGATGGCATGTTTAGGGAAGGGTGTTTGTTAGATCTGCTTGGATAACTACATCGCTGCACCACTCTGTGAATGATGCCACATCAGATTTGGATGTTGGACTTTTTCACATTAAGAGGAAGATGACCGAATGTTAACAGACTTAATTCCAACTTGGTCCTTAAAGTCTACACAACTTCTACTTCATAAGATTGCCTACATTTCCCAGAATGACTTTGAACATTTCTGAAGAACCTGATCTATTATAAGCTTACCTCCAGGACACTTAGACATTTTCTTAAAGGGCCCATGTCATGGCCATTTCCACTGATCATAATTCCATTGTTGAGGTCTACTAGAATAGATTTATATTGTGCAATTTTCCAAACTCACATTGGTTTCTCATACAGCATCTCTGTAAACTACGTGTATTCACTGAATTTCACTATTTGCCTTTAGCGGCTCGTTGTAGCTCCAATAGCTCCAGCCCCCACCCTCCCTGTGAGCCCAGTGTGCTCTGATTGGTCGGGACGTTGTGAATTGCGCTGAGCTCCGTGGAGGTGTTGTTTCCTTGTTTAGCGATACACAGCCAAACACAGCCAAACTCATCCTGAGCACACACAAAGTCACAGCCGAAGTAAAAACAGTAAGTGTGGCTTGATATTGAGTAAGAAAAAGGTTGATAAACGCTGTGAGAATGGGTCTGCAGAGAGAATTTTGCCGCGATCCCAACTGTCTGTTATCAGCCTGCAGCCAGGGAGGAGAAATCAGCAGAGCTGCCTGCACTGTGTGTGTGTGTGAGGAAGTCCGTGGATTGGTCAATTTGGACCAATCAGCAGGGGCTTAACGTAACGGCTCCGCGGACGTAACGTAACGGCTCCACGGATTGGTCCATTTCGTTCCGGGTACAGGGTTACGTCACCCCGTCCCGGAAGAATCAAATGGACAATGACGTATCTCCAACGAGGCGTTTTGGGGAGGTATTTTCTGTGTTAGAGTTTTACTCGCTACAGGGTGTACTTTGAGGGTTGTGACTCTGCAGACCGTTTACATGCATAAAAACCTTCATAACACACAAGGCGACGGGTAATAACCGGAAAAGCATGACATGGGACCTTTAAAGATTTCTGTTTGTTTTGAACACATGTCCTTTTATCAAACCCAACTGTAGCTTGCACATGAGCTTAACATGTCACCATGTTGTATGACCACTCCTTTTTGTGTCTTAATGGGAAACACATGCACTTTTAGACTCTCTTCTTGTTCTTGTCCTCTGGATCCTGACACATGAACACAACGTGAATTTGCTCAGAGCTCTGGTTCACATTCACATTTGTGTTTAACTCAAATGTATTTCACCTCAGTACCATTGATCCTACAGATCATATAACAGGCGCATAGTTGGTCTTTTTCCATATATACAGCATTAGTTCAATCTGAATTCTGAATAAAGAGAGGTTTTACTTTCAGGAACACAAACACGCCTGTAAGAGTTTAGAGAGCAGCATGTTCAGTTACAGCAGGATTTGTTTTCACATCACTGAGTTGTTAAATGGAAATACATTTAACTATATTAATATGTTTTATTAGTTACATATACACGTTTTGGGAATAAACTCTCAATATGTTAAAATGGGAAACTGATGACACTGCCACACATGTGAGGGAAATGATGCCCTGTTAAAGCCCTGATGCAGTGTGTCCCTCTCTGCATCGACTTGTCGACTCAGATGAGGCACTAATACAGGGGTGAAGGTATGAGTCCTTAAAACCAGAAATGAGTTAGCATTTTTGCATTTCCAGTTCCCCCCTCTGAAAGTCAATGGGATTTAGGCTAGATAGCTTAAGAGATGTTAACATTTTGTTGTACAACATTAAATACGCCAGTCAATACCCCACTTGTGAATTTCTGGGGGAAGAAATGGCAGTTACTAACAAGTGGCTACATGGGACTACAAAACGTCATCAGGCTGAACATTAGCCACCTTTAGCTTAGCATTGGTGATGCGCGACCGTGTTGTAGTTTGTCTTTAGACTAATGTTAGCTTTTTACTTCTGGTGATGACATTTACGCTTCAACTATTAGAAAAGTGCTTTGAATATGTGGAGATCATCCGACTGAACAAAACGTGTAAGTATCATAAACGTTTGTTTGGAGGGAACAAAGGGAGAGGGAACTGTTTAGGGGAGGATGTGTTGGACCCAATGTAGAGGACCCATTTCATATTTAGACCCTCTCTTAACCAGGCTTAGCACCTCAGCTGCTTTTAAGTCAACCTCTGGCATCAGATATTTCTCAGTTTTCATAAGTTGCGTTCATTTGTATGAATGACTTTGAACAGCTGATCAATGGAGACTTTGTTTTCATGATGATTAAATAAACTATTCTTTGTCACTGAATAAAGCTGCTTATGAACTCTTACAAGCATTTGTCAGATTAAAGAAAAAATAATTCTGCAGTGAAACACCCCTTTGTGTTTTGGTTTGGATTGCAGATTAACATCCACCAAGCTCTTTGGGAAAAGAAGTCATACATTATCATTATTAAAGCTTTTTTAACTCTCAGGCACAAAAACCTATTTGGTATTCAGTAATAACTGTGCTTTACCCTCACTCATTTGGATACAAAGTGTATTGTAATGACAATATTTACACATCTGAGAGTGCTTGTGAAAGGATTCAAACTTGCATTGCACGGCAAATATACTCTATGAGACCAACATGTATCGTAAGAGAAACCAAAAAACATATGCCCTTTTAGTTTGTTATGATGTTTGTGCCTCAGATGATTAGATGTCATCTGTATACTTTAATCTGAATTGAAAGAAATAGAAAAGTTGACCGTGAAAAAAAACATTTTTGAACACATGCTGTGTCAACTTCATATTTAACACATTTTCTTATAAACTGCAGGATTATTTCTATAAGAAATCACATCCATAATCTCTTCAGTTTTTCCTTCCTTTCGTCACCATCTTTACATCTGCCAACATTAAATAAAGCAATTCAAAAACAATAGTGCCCAAAGCATGATAAGCATGAGAAAAAAGATAAATATAATTTATGTTGGTTTTGTCCATTATTTTCTTTTCTTTTTTTTTTTTTACAATACATACTCCTTGTCATTTTATTTGGTTGATTTTCAATGTAAAAGTGGAGCGTGGTCCTCAGAGGTTTGTGTAGTTGCTCCATGTGCATTTGCTTTGGTCGCGCCCTCCTTTGGCATCGCTGTGGCAAAAAAAAGAAACTGAGAAGTAAAGCTACAGACAGACGGTCAGTCTGCTTTTTTTTGGTATTTCATTGTTCTTGTCCCGGTTTCAAGAAAGAATTCTTTGGAGGGAAACCTGACAGGATTCCCCAAAAGTCTCCAATAAATATCCGATTCCAAAAGTTCGTAAGTCCAACCGCTTCATGCGAAAGTTCATTTTCTCTGCTGGAGAAAAAAAAAGGTTTTCTTTGGTATGGTTGAATCTGGATTCTCTTCAGTAGGATGAATGTGGCTTTAAAGTCTCTCCTGTCCAGAAGTCAGTCAGTCAGTAAGTCAACATGTAGCCGGCTAAATCTGAAACCGCTCTTAAAGAATGATGTCTTTCCATTATCTCCGTCCACACAGAAGCAGTTCAATCTCATTTGTATTTATTAATTGTGAATGACTTACAATCAAAAAATACTATTGTAATTGTCTCAGGAATTATGTAGGAATAAATACCTACATACTTAATAACAAATTCAGTAACCTGTCATGGTATGTAATCATATTTAATATTTAGTCTAATCATGGAACGGATTTAATGAACCGTCACAATTACTTCTACAGACATTTGTTGAAGCTTTTATATTCTGGTCACTGTTACAGATTGGATACACTTCCATTTTATCATGTACTCAAAGTACTTTTGCAGAGAACTATTACGGTGGCCGGCAGGTGCAAACGCGTTACAACGGCCCAAAACATTTCCAATTAGGAGAAAAGGCTGTAGTTTCAAAAATGATGCAAATATAAAAACACAAATGTGCCAAAACTCATGCAAATGAAGAAACATCTTCACCAACTTCCGGAAACATGCGCAGCTTTTACTAAAAGCACTGCATGTTTACGCCGCAAATACAAAACTCTGCTAGAAGCTCAAAACACAACAGAAACAGGGACACTAAAAAGTGCCGCACACCGCTGGGACCGGAGCCATGCTGTCATTCGGAGATTATAAAGTTAGCCATTGTCACGCGTTTGCACCTGTCTGCCACCGTAAGTCATAAATAAAATATTAAAACTATGTCATTAGCTACATTTACATAAAATGGTTAAAGTAAAACTACTCATTGTTCATCAAAATGTTCCGTCAGTGTTTTACTATTATATAAGATGTTTCTGAATTAATATTATTGCTGCATTAATGCGTATGTTGCATTTACTGCTACAGATGTTTAACGTTCTGCTCATTTTAACTTTTGATATACTGTTGGGTGCTTTGATCTTCAGCAATGGATCATATTTTCTAAGATCATCAGATATCGATGTCCTGTGAGAATGTTGGTGTAAAGCTGCATTCACATGATACGTAGTGAAGCGCCTGAAGTTGTATACAATGTACGTGTTTTGGAGTCTCTTTCAAAACTATTTCATTAGGGTTAGGGTTAGGGTCAGTCAGTCGGATCAGTCATCCTGGTGAAGATAATGTTTGTGTACTTACTTTTTGTTTAGTATCTTCTACCTATAGTTCAATATTTAACCTTTGTCCAGCTTTCTCATTCTTGTTTAAGCTGTATGTCTATTCCTGTGTTAGCATATCCAAACACTACATTCAAAAGCTTTATTTGTTTATAGGTACTTTCCAATAAAACTGATTCCTGGAACAGAGGTCACTTATATCAATTCCTAGTTAAACATACAGTTTGAATTTTCGGGTTTATCCTCTATGGAATGGATACATTTAAAAATCTTTGTTTTTGGGTGATAAATATGCCGGCTTGTTGTGGACGGAGAGGAAACACAGAGTGAGGAAAGATGCGTTTTCAGAGGTAGCCGCTGGAGCGTGTCGGTCCGGGAACAGTCGGAGGGTTAGTCCACCTCGATGGACTCGCTGCTCTCATTCACAGGTTTGCACTCGTTGGGGAGTCGCTGGTGGCGGCTGAGCTGAGTGGCCTGTGTGAAGCTGCGGTCGCAACGCTCGCACCTAACACACACACACAGACACAAACACACATACAAAAAGAAGCAGAAACAACATATGTGATTAGTTTAAGGATGTGTATGTCAGAAAAACACAACACTGTTGAAGACAGGAAGACCTGAACAGTTTATCAATATGAAATCGAAATGCTGAAATGATGCATTGTCTAAATAACAGGAGGCGCAATATTTGTTAAACAGTATGTGTCAAAAATACCATTGTTGATTGGTTAGCTGTTAAAGGGATCATTGCCTCCAATGTCGTGAATTATATTGCAATATTAGTCAGTATGATCGCAAAGTTGTTTTTCCAAATTGTTAAGCCCTCCTTCATACAGCAGCACAAACACCCACATACACAACCTTGAGATTGGCATGCACGTACACACACACACACACACACACACACACACACAAGCACACACACAAGCACACACACACACACAAGCACACACACACCCTCCTGTTAACTCTAATATCCAGTGACAGTATAAAGTGTGTGTGAGGCCCAGCGGAGCAGCAAGCTGTAATTGTTGCCCTGATCTTCACAACCTGACCGACAAATTACACACACACACACACACACACACACACACACACACACACACACACACATCCACACACACACACACACACACACACACACACACACACACATCCAGGCCAGATAAAACAGCGTCACTGTCACTTCCAATAGAAAGAGAGAAGAGAGGGAGCTTTTAGTCGGAGCAGGAGGGGTGAAGGGGCAGTTACATGTATATGAATGTGTTAGTGTGTGTTTGGAGTGGGGGGGAGGGGGGCCTTCAAAGAGAAGGCTGTGTTGAGGTATTGGATTTAGCAGCCCTGAAACAAGACTAACATGCTGTTAGATAGATAGGAAGGGGAGGGGGGGGGGAAATGTGTTTTGAAGCTCAGTGTTGACTGAAGAATGGGGGTTTAGAAGATCTTTAAATGTAGGTTTTCCTTTCAGAACCACATAAACACATTATGAACCAATAGTCAGTGTATTAGATATACCTATAGTATATTATTTATAGGGTTAAATAACATGGTCAACTTTCTGTGTTATTATAAAAAAGCAAACATGGCAAAGGCTGTGGCACTTCTTCTATTGGCGCAAGATTAGGCGCGTTCACACCGCAGTACTTTTCCCACTTCAGTTCCGAAATGTCGCGTTCACACCAAAAAGAGCCGGAACTAAAATGAGTTCATCAGAACCTTTTTTACCCCCTTTTCAGTCCCTGCTAGAGAGCAGGTACTTTCGTGAGAGAAAAAGGTTCCTATGTCTGATTGGCTGGGCGGAATGCAAACCACGCCCCGTAAAACTCCCAAAAAGTTTTGTGAAGCCGTCATTTTATTATCCTCGCATTAGCATTATTAGCATTAGCATTAGCCCAGCGCACAAACGCAGAGAGAATAACTTATGGCAACACAAAAGAAAACATGGGAGCGGTGGAGATGAGGAGGTGTCGGCGTTCTAGCGATTTACTCGGAAGGCTTCAGTAGAAGCTGCTGGGAGTCCCAGCAGCTTCTACTGAAGCCAGTCCCCAACTCCGGGGACTTCCGGCCGGGGACTTCGGGTGGCAGTATACGCCGTGAAGTTGTTTGCGGCCTGCCAGTAAACCCAAAGCAGAAGAAGACGAAGTGACGTCAGCGGCTTCATTTGCCTAATCCTCCCCCAGGGACTTATTCCGGTGTGAACGCGATCTGAATTTAGTTCACGAGAACTAAAGAGTTCTCATGAACCTTTGTGGGAAAAGTACTGCGGTGTAAAAGCGCCTTATGTTTCAACTAAAATGTGCTTTTAGATCCAATAGTTTGCCTGTATATTCGGAATATATTTAAGCAATAGCTCACGACAGGCCGTGGTATATGCTCATTATATCACAGCTAAGGGGCGTGGTTCGGCCCGACGCGAAGCGGAGGGTCGACAACCCCCTTAGCTGTGATATAATGAGCATATATCACGGCCTGAAGTGAGCTATTGCTTTTATAAAACGGTTACCAAGTGTGGCAATATGAAAGAAAAATACACACTCTAATTTAAATAGTTTTTATTAGTAAATAATGATGTTCAAAATAAAATAGTCCCTCTGTTGCCTTCTGCACGAAACATAGTGCGAGGTGGTTGCTATGCAACAACACTAACAACAGCTAGCGAACATATTAGACAGAGAGCGTTGATCCATTATTTAGCTATTTATTTACATTAATTTGTATGTTGCCGTTTATTGTGCACCCACTGAAAAACTGTTCAGCATCAGTAGCATGGCTTACGTGGTCACTTGTATCGGCTGAGGTTGTTCTAGGCTGTTGCTTGGCGTGGCGAGAATATTGCTCCACTTTCTCCGGTCCCCGAGATTCGGCTTCCAGTAGCTCTGGAGAGAGCTTTCGCACCTGTGGCCACTAACGGTCATAATTTCTCTGCTTTGTTTCAAGACCCGCATCAGAAAGCTTTTGAATGGTGGTACTTTTCCAGTTGGTCTACCTGCTCTTCACGTAGCTCTACATGTCGTCGTTTAGGTGCTTTTTGTTCTGGAGATAGGCACTCCTCAATCCACTCCTCCATAGTAAGACCCCCCCCCCGGAGGTCGAAGTTAATCTTAAATGTTTTTGCGGACCTTTTTGATTACAGATTTGAAAACATTGTTGCTTGCTTTAAAAGTAGCACAATTCATTATGTCAAACCTTGGAAAGTATCTAGATATCCCTGTCCTAATGCCAAAGGAACTGCACACTGAATATGTTTTTGCCGTTTGATGTCTATGTCTGGACCGTTGCGTAAAAAGGAGGGTTTCTGCCCCGTTACTTCTCCGCTGCTTTCTTGTTCCAGTTTGAAAAGCAAACTGCAGGCAGTTTGCTTTTCAGCCCAACTGTACTGTTTATCTCAGACGCGGAGGGATACTGAGTTGTTGTGAAAAGTAATTTACAATTCTACCCGTGGTATACGCTCAGTATACCACGGCTAAGAACCAATCAGATTGCTTGATTTTACTTGTCCGTTTTATAATGGAATATATCTGCCACAGAAAGAGGCATTTTAATTGGTGCACGAATAAAAACGTGCAGGTTTAGTGACACAGCTATATGTTGCTTTTGGTCAATGGTGCACATTTTCATATCAAACTCACACTCAAACCAAACTCTTTGCCCCAATAAGAAAACCCACTAATAATAGGTTTATATTAGATTTCAATGAATTTCACAACGGACAGTTTTCAATATCACATAATTTCTACTCTAAAACCTAAAAAACCTTATACATTTTTTACATCAAAAGACAGTAAACTGTTTAATGTCCTTCCTAGCATCACTTTTAAACCCTAACTTTAACAGTAAAACATAAGCATTGAAGTCCAATGGTCAGCCAGGCAGCCGTATTTTGGTGAAAGTAGATGTTCAACTTCATCTCTTTTAACAATATTTTCAAGTCAAATGGAATGGAGGCATTAACACAATGTATACACGGTTTAAAATGTGTTTACTTCAGAAACTTCCAAGATCTTCCGACTACATTGTAGTAAGTGTTATATGTTTAAATGTGTGTGTGAGGCATTTTAAAGACTTGTTCACAGCAGTAATCATGCCGGAAAGACTTCCGTAAATGGATCTTTCTTTCGTCATTTAGTGTATGTTCTTACAGCGCAGACAAACTAACCAGACTGCCAACTGAACAGCTCTGCCGTTAGACGTTCCTACTGTTAGTTATTCTGTAAATTCACAAAACCACAACAGCTACAGACATCAAAGCTCCTCTGAAGCTCCTCTGTCACAGAGACTTATCCAGCAGGACAGACACGGACACGGTCCTCCTGCAGAACAAAGAGTGGAGCGGGAACGAGGTCGGGTGCAGCCTGCTGCTATCGACCAGCCGGCGTCTGTTACCGACTCCTTCGGGTAGCTCAGTGCGGTAAAATAACGTTGAGCAGTTTCGTCCTGGCAAAGTGACAGCAGCAGCTTTAATCACTTTCCCCTCAACGATCAGTGACGCTTCAGCTCACGTCTTATCTTCATCCCTTAAAACGGGACAGAATGGGGAGTCAACAAGTACAGATGGTGTTCAGTCACATGTTGATAGGACTGGTGGGACCAGAAGGAGGCAAGTACTGTACAACAAGTCTCTGTTTGCAGCGCTACTTACATTTCACTGTAATGCACGGAAATCTGACGCTTGTAGGACTTTTTGTGATAACCTGACATCAGGTTTTTTAGATCAACCAATTAGTTGTAATTTAGTGGGAATGCTGAGACAGCATTCCAACTATATGTTATGCTACGGACAAAATTCTTCTTATTATTCCATCCAATTATTTTGGCCCTCTTCTCCTCCCACATTCAACATCGCAGAAACTCCGTTCAAACATCAAAACGTTCAGCTCGGTCGGGAATCGCAGGCTATTACTTTTATCATTCATAACTTTCATAATTCCTGAGATACATCCCATAATACATCACATTTTTAACATGGAAGTCAATGGAGACATTCTTCAGACTTCAACAAATCTTGATGCGACTTCAACTGCTAACTGTTCATTCATACTTTCACTCAGAAACCTCATTCCAACTTTAAAATGTTACACATCTTTCTGACATTATTCGTGCAACACAACATTTAAATCTGATTCTTACTTTTAGAGATATTAAACATTGTTCAGACCTTGTTAAAGAGGTTTTCTTCCGATTTTAACATTAACTAGAGTGCGTGATGTCACAGCTAGAGTGTGGGAATTCTTGAAATGTGCCTTCATATTTTTTTTTAAAATTGCCATAATTCCCAAACCCTACATTCCTGAGACATCATTTTTCATGACAAACGTAGGAAACATCTCGTAGCTTGAAAAATGACAAATAATTAAACAAAATGCCTCTTGAGGGCATGAAGTGACAAAACGTTCAACATGTCTCCATTAAAGCCCATTGTAATTTCAGGCAGATATTTCCTCACAGCAGCAGCCGCACACCTTTAGTTAAACTGCAATCAACAGCCCTCAACAGCTCTACGTCAATTATGGGGTTTCTTCAAATGCCGTTGCCATGGCAACACAATGCTCGCCATGAAACACGGTTTTCTCATAACTTCAGTGAAAATGCTCCAAACGGCCCAAAACTTCACAGGTTTGGTAACGATGCAGCCATCAACGCATCTAACCGTATTATGGGGTGTCATCAAATGCCGTTGCCATGGCGACATACCACTCGCCATGAAGCACGATGTCGCTGTAAGTCCAATGGACACGGTCCGATCGTCCTCCAAACTTCGCTTGTATATCACCGGTACAGCCCTCAACAGCTCTACGTCAATTATGAGGTTTCTTCAAATGCCGTTGCCATGGCAACACAATGCTCGCCATGAAACACGGTTTTCTCATAACTTCAGTGAAAATGCTCCAAACGGCCCAAAACTTCACAGGTTTGGTAACGATGCAGCCATCAACGCATTTAACCGTATTATGGGGTGTCATCAAATGCCGTTGCCATGGCGACAGACCACTCGCCATGAAACACGATGTCGCTGTAAGTCCAATGGACACGGTCCGATCGCCCCCCAAACTTTGCTTGTATATCACCGGTCCAGCCCTCAACAGCTCTACGTCAATTATGGGGTTTCTTCAAATGCCGTTGCCATGGCAACACAATGCTCGCCATGAAACACGGTTTTCTCATAACTTCAGTAAAAATGCTCCAAACAGCCCAAAACTTCACAGTTTTGGTAAGATGTAGCCATCAACGCATCTAAGCGTATTATGGGGTGTCATCAAATGCCGTTGGCATGGCGACAGATCATTCACCATCAAGTTAGTTCAAAAGTTTGCAGTTCAAATATTCTGCTGCTTTTCCAAGCCTTTTTACTTTCTTTTCTTCACTCATCACACATTCAAGCCCCCAGTGTTCATGTATCATTTCAATCTAAATTCTTCACTTTCTTCTAACACATTACATTTCAGCATAGCAGTTTAGCGTCAGATTTTTAGCATAAAGCATTCCCACTAGCAATTTCTTCAGGAATTGCATTCTCTAGTTACATTATGTAATTCGAAAGTGTCATTGGTTTATTCCGCTCATAAGTCGTTTCTCATTTCTCAAATGTTCGCCCCCTCGACTACTCGATCCTCCAGCAGTGACGGTCGTTGATTTCAGTGTGCCATCTTCAAATCAAATCAAATCAAATCGAGTTTTATTTATATAGCACATTTTTAAACGATTTTTGGTCGAGCCAAAGTGCTGTACATATAATAAAAATACCCTACCCTACTATCTTGAAGGATATCCAAATTCTCCGAATGCACATTGAGGATTGAGGAGCTATGAGGAGCTATGAGGAGCTATGAGGAGTCTATGAGGCTATGAGGAGCTATGAGGAGCTATGAGGAGCTATGAGGAGGCTATGAGGAGCTATGAGGAGCTATGAGGAGCTATGAGGAGCTATGAGGAGCTATGATGAGCTATGAGGAGGCTATGAGGAGGCTATGAGGAGCTATGAGGAGCTATGAGGAGGCTATGAGGAGGCTATGAGGAGCTATGAGGAGCTATGAGGAGCTATGAGGAGCTATGAGGAGCTATGAGGAGGCTATGAGGAGCTATGAGGAGCTATGAGGAGGCTATGAGGAGGCTATGAGGAGCTATGAGGAGCTATGAGGAGGCTATGAGGAGCTATGAGGAGCTATGAGCGAGGAACCACTGATCTATTTTCCATGGATGCATCTTTAGCCCAAGTTACTGTCACATACATTTGAATAAAAACGAAATATATAATTGTTCATAAACACTGCCTTGCTCATCTGATAGAGATAATAAAATACAGCTGTTTAAAATGTGTTGGTCAGCTGATGGTGCTGTGCCTCCTTACATATTCAATTGATGTTGATTTAAAATGACCACTCCAAGGAAAAGATTTCTCAATTTCTCTTTAAATGCCTCTTTCCTCGACTCCTCTATCCTCGATGTTCCTCCTCGACTCCTCTACACGCATCTCCCATGGCCAAGACAGGAGTTGAGGGATCAAGGGGAGGCAAACTGGGACTGAGTAATATCACTTTTCTTTGTGTGTTAGTTGTAAGGGTCAAGTTGCAGACGAAACAGGTGGGTTTTCAGTCTGTGACAGAAGATGTGTAGACTTTCAGCAGTCCTGATATCAACAGGGAACTTCCATCATCCTGGAACCATAAGAGCAAACAGGGGTGTTTTCTTGAGGGGTCCCTGGGTCACAGTTAGTATCTCACTGTGAGTCACAATATCTAACAATACCTCACTGACTTACAGACTTAAAATGAAGCTGACCAGAGCACAATAGTCCAACATTTGCTCTCAACTGATCTCTGACCTAGCCACAACAAAAGAAGAGCCATGACAAGACAAAGGGATCCAGGAGCCTCATCACTTTGCTTTCTACAGTCCTCTGGTGGATTCATAAAGTTACAACTGTATAGAAAACCCTGGAACAATAGAACAGCAGAGAAAACAGCAGTTTGACAGGCTCCATAGTCCAGCGAGTATCGGTGCTGAAAAGCTGCCGACCACACAGAATCTCTGCTCCGTCTCCTCAGCGGGGAAAATAAAGTTGAGCGTTTTCCTCCAGACAAAGTGACAGTGGCAGCTTTAATCTATTCGTGGCACCATCCGAAAGGAGATAACTCCCCGAGGCCATCGATCCGCTAAAGATTCCTGACGCCCGTCCATGATTGTCTTTGTCCCGCTCTGCCTCCACCGAGACTCTGAAGTGCTGATGAAAAGGTTCGGGGGTTTCCTCCGATTGCTTATTAAGAACGCTGATTTGCTTTAACCGGATTTCTCGTCGCCGATTGTCGTTTCACTTTTTACACCGTGATCTCTTGTTCCTCTTTCCCTCTCTCATTTTATTACCCATTCTTCTCGGCCTTTGGCTCTCCACGTCAATGACAACTTTGGATTTCTCTGATTGCTTATTAAGGACGTTCATTTCCTTCGGCTTTCCCCTGATACCTGTCCTTTAGATTTCCTGAATCCCTTATTCTGCTTTCTTCCCCTTCTTTAATACCCCTTACTCTTTCCCCTCTGTCGCCCTCCTGCCCTTTCCCTTAATGCTGACCTCTGTGTCCACTGGGGGAATCTGTATTGTCCTCTATCGCTGACGAGATGACAGCGTGACAACAGAAGCTTCCAGAAGGCCCTAATTGCAGCGAGGCGTGCCTTCTCATTATATCAGTCTTCAGTTGCAAGCGAAAGAAAATGCAAGTGAGCTGTCAGAGATTCATTACCAGCTGCTGACGCTGTGATGGAGATGCTTCTCTTTTCACACTGATGCTCTCACAATTGATACATTCATTTATTAGGAACAACAGTTATTTATATTATCTGCCTGTTAAACATGGTATGGTGAATATGTGTTTGAGGAAGTTATGTTGAGTTGAATTGGTAAATTATTTCTGTTGGCGTGTGCTTTGCCCAGCCACCGGGTTAGGGTTAGGGTTTAGGGTTAAACCTCCCTGATCCTCCCCACAACTGCATGTTGGGAGTTTATTTAAGTGATAAGATTAAGGATAGACGTTTATATGAGACCAGTTCAGACAGAGAGCGAAACATCTCTTCAACCTCAAATTAAGAGTGTGCAAACAACGAGCGCGTATTAAGAGAGCAAACAAGGGCAAACTAAGAGCACAAACTCAGAGTATTAAGAGTGCAAATTAAGATCGCGAAATAAGAGCAAATATTGATGTGCAAATTAAGAGTTCAAATCAAAAGTGCAAATTAAAAGCACAAATTATGAGTGCTAAATAAAGTAATTACGGTGAATTCACTGAAACTGTCCAGGATACACATTTGACAAGGTCCGCTTTTCATAAAAAGGACTAAGTACAAAATACACATCAACAATGGAAACAAGATGAAATAACTTATAATAACAGAACAATATAAAACTCTGTCCCCAATGAACAAAGAGATCCCACAACATTATGAGGGAAATTATTAAATGTTTGGGTTGCTATCAATTCTACTGCATCAATTGGCAAAGGTAAAGTCCCAAAACTTGATGTAGCGATATTTCAAAAGACTCAATGTACTATTCCTAACCCAAATGTATCAGGTCTAAAACGTACTTTATGGCATAGACATGACTCTAAGAAAAAGTGACCTGCCAAGGATGCCAGTAGGATATATCTAGGGTGTCAGAGGCAGCAATGAGGGTGCATTAGTCGGCTAACAGAATGTCAGTTAGAGTTAGATGGCTCTCATATGTAAGTGAAACTGGTCAGTCCAGTCGCAGTGTGCAGCAGGGACAGGGAGCAGAGGGTCAGGTTGGTGGATGGGTGGGGGGTACTCACTGTTACTTACTTGAACGGCTTCTCCCCGGTGTGCGTGCGGATGTGGTTGTTGAGCGTTGTGGCGCCAGCGAACGCACGACCGCAGTATCCACATTTGAAGGGTCGGTCGCTTGAGTGTGTCACCACGTGGTTCCTCAAATCTGATGGCTGAGAGAAGGACTGGGAGCAGTGGCCACACTGGTACGGTCTGAGGAGAGAAAGGTGTATGCGTACGTTTAGAACCCTTTACCCATGGGGTCTTAATTCTTCCTAAAAGGGTTGGGAGGTATAATAAAGAGGACCTATTATGATTTTCAAGGCTTTCTCTTTCCTGTAGTGTGTTCTATAGGTTTGTATGCCTGTTAATGGTCTGCAAAGGCTAACATCCCAAAGTTCCCTCCAGATGGAGTTGAATAGGTTGACAAGAGACAAAACACAAATATGAATCTGAAAATGAGCATATTATGTCCTCTTTCTATCCGTCTGTACAACAATGAGCAATTACTAATATTCCCATAGAGTCAGCTGGAGATGTGTTCAAATGGCAGAGAGACAGTGGCATTGCAAATCACCTTTATTCAAATTCAACCAAAACCATCTTGGTTACTCTTTCCAATGTTCCATCAATCCCCAAAGTCACCAAGTTTGATGTGAAATGCCGGCTGAGCAATGACTGGCAGATGATTTATTGTCATCGCAGATATGATTTACTGCTTTTGCACATTCAGACATTGATTGATAAATTACAGGACCCTCAAATATGAAGTATGCAAAGGGATACAAGTTGCACCTTCACAACAGACATGTACACACAAACATAGTTAATTACCCCAAAAACAAAAAACACATCTGGGACACTAACACACATTAAGGGAGAGCAATAGACAGAGAGGGATGAGGCAAGAAAGGTCTGTAAACACAGATAACACACACACACACACACACACACACACACACACACACACACACACACACACACACACACACACACACACACACACACACACACACACACACACACACACACACACACACACACACACACACACACACACACAGGTCAGGGAAAGTCAGACACTGCCCTGTAACCATGGCAGCATGACCCTCATCAACGATGCAGGCCGAGATCACAACTGAACCATTTATCACTGTGTGAGAGTGTGTGTGTGTGTGTGTGTGTGTGTGTGTGTGTGTGTGTGTGTGTGTTGTTAGAGAGAGTGAAAAAGAGACAGTAACAGAACAAGAAAAGAAGATATAGATACATATAAAGAGATTATGTGTGTGTGTGTGTGTGTGTGTGTGTGTGTGTTTCTCAAATGGGAGCTCACAGTGGGAGTGAATCAGACTGAAACAAAGGACCAAACAGTAGCAGTGTGTCTGCTAATAGAGTGTCCAGCTTCCATACAGCAGCTGATCTAATCTCACACTGTTTCTATTGAGCTGAACACACACAGCCTGCTGTGAACAGTATCTCCTTATTTCGTTTTAACGTAAGGGACACTACTTCAGTTTGATCTCCGCTCATATCTCTACACCCCCCTCGCTGTTTTCCATACGATAGTTACAGCTTCATTCCCTTTTTACAAATGTACCAAATAATTATCTGCGCTTCAAACAAATATTAAAAGCGTAAGCAATAATGTATGATATTTGAGGGAGTTATTTTCACAGCAATATTAAATGCATTTAAGACCTGTTTAACTTCCTCACAAAACCAGTATGCAAACGGTAATAAAGGATTGTTTGTTGAATTACATGGGATTAACATTGGGGTTTTTTCTTTTTTTTTAGTTGTCCCACATTTGTATGGAGAATCTTGGCCTTAACATTGGTATTGGATACTCAATATCTGGTATGACATCCCAGCCTAATAGTACAAATAACTACTGACTGCATGGCTTGACTGGATTGACTTTAGGTTCAATATAATCTGATGACTAAAACCATTTTCATTGATAGCTGAGTTTTCTAAGACAAGACTAAAATATCCAAACTTTGAGTCAACTAAAACTTGACTAAAGTAAAACAGTAAAAGGTTAAATAAATATAATCCAACAAAATGACAAGAACATCTGACAAAGGACTCAAACTAACAATATATAAAACAAGAGCTGACAACATTAATTATAAACACCAAAATGGTTTGCCCGCTCGTCTCTTTGTTTTCAAGTAACCCACCCTTAAGATGCCATTGAAAACCAGCAAGATGTTAAAACCAGCTTCATTCACTTTAGGCTTTGCCACAATACCCAACGACTTAGCCATAGGCCACAGACAGCGATGCAATGAATGTGTTCAATAAGCAGCAGATGCAGCGCTGCAAGGTCACAAACAAACCTCATAACATGTGCTTTTTACTTGTGAAAGTTCACACTCATGGCATTTATTGAGTGAAATAGAAAACGCAGTAATTGTAAAAACTAGTGAAAAGTGATAATAAAAAAAAATGATGTGAGTCCTTCTTAGATTAAATGTTGTTAACTACAGTACATGTACAATCATCGTCAACACTTCAATTTCCCTTGCCATTATATACGAAAAAATACAAACTATAACATTTAAAACACTGTTAATAGCCACCAAATGGTTATAACTGCGTTAATGAGCTTTAATCCTTATTCCTCAGTTCAACAAATGTTTCAAAAGTTAAACTGCTGCTGAGGGAATATCATATTTGTGATGTTTTATTCACTTTGATTCCTTGATTCATTTAAATGTCTGTGGAAACGTACCTACAAATAGTGTAAGCTTAAGGTCTTATTTTAACAATGTGATCGCATGAGTCCTTTTGATATTATTGCAGATCTACTGTAAGCTAGCTAGCTAACGTAGCTAACCTAGTAATTTCATTTATACTGACAAAACACTTACAATTATGAAACAGACTAACTTGGCCAACAGTGACAATTGGCCAACTTTATGATCCCTGAACGTCAACAACGTGTATCACTTTTTAGAGTCCTTGTTTCCATTGTGTTTTGAGCTTTTTGCAGCATTTCGTTCTGCTTCTATATTTACATAATTGTTTTAAATGTGCAGCGTGGGTTGGCCACCGTACATCCCTAATGGATTTTAACATAACATTTCTACTGCTGCACTAATATCCATATTACACATGGTGGAGGGCATATTATGTACTGTTCGTGTATATCCTTCTGAGGCAATAACACACACATACAAGTCCTCACTGTACCTTGTTTATCACTGCGTATTACTGGGTTAGTTGTTGAACTGTCTCTGCGGCGGTGCGACTGGGACAAATTCCCTTGTGCTGCTCGCAGTCGGAATATAAAGCGATTCTTATTCTGAAACCAATAAGGAAAAACTCTGACATCAGTACCTAACAAATAGGTAAACACCCCAGAACGAGAAATAAACAAATAGACCAACAACTCCAACGCTCCAATAAATCACAAACACCTACTGTACCCTGAGAGGATGTTGACACACACAAACACACACAGAGGTTTGTAATAAGAGTAAAATAGTGTTATATAAAATCGAAAAATTCTCACTTGCAGTTTTCCACATAAAAGGCGTCTCGCCGTGGGGGTGGGTTCATTTATCAGCCGGCTGGTCTATAAGTTCACGCCTCAGTGGGCCGCACCACTATTTATTAGGTGGGTTTTCTATGAAGAGCTGCATTGATTGTGAATAGTTTAAGTTGATGAATGTGTGGATATTATTTATTAAGGCAGCAGGCCGGGAGATTAATGCCCGGTTATTGTTTATTACAGTGAAGAGAGAGAGAGAGAGGAGGAGGAGGAGGAGGGGAAGCACACACGCACACGCACACACACACGCACACACACACACACACACACACACACACACACACACACACACACACACACACACACACACACACACACACACACACACACACACACACACACACACACACACACACACACACACACACACACACACACACACACACACACACACCACGCAGCCAAAGGGTTTTGCACAGACAAGCACATGCAAATGTTTTCTTGTGCACAAATGAATTAAAAAAGCTATCTTTTGCACACAATCACATGTATGCATGAATTACCGTACACAGGGTTAGGGTATTTGTAGCTGAGAAAGAACCTCATGCAGCTCAGTTTGACTGAGCAAAACCTGAACACTGAAATAAACGTATGACTGGTTAGAGTGTGGGAAGAAGTTCTAAGATCGTAAACCTCGCCTGCTCCTCTAGGCATGTCTATACAGTATTGAGTTTATGTAAGACACCTTGGATAAATGTTTCAGCTAAATGTTATTTAAAATGGAAAAAGTGCTAAAGCAAACCAGTGGCGTCGCCTGGCCTGGGCATCCGGGGCTTTAGCCCCGAATGTTTTTTCTGTAGCCCCGGACAATTCTCCCTCAATAATATAATACATTAACCGTGCTTTACGTGAACCTCATCATGACACAAGAGAGGACGGCAACACTGTAATTTCCCGTGTTCAGTGAATGCAACAGAGGCATGACACCAGACCAATCAGAGAGTTGCATGGAAATAAACGTGTGCTTGTGTCATTCAAGCTCGGCTCTGTGTGTGTGTGGCAATAGCGCATTTAGTGTGATAGAGAGAGAGAGAGGGACCGCTGCCAGCAGGGACCTGTTGTTAGCATCTGGTTAGCTAGCTGCACTAACGGACATAAGGAGCTGTTTGTTCCACAACAAGCTGGAGGAGAGTCCTCTCCTCTCAGACTGAGAGACTCAGGTGAGCTAAAGGACTCTCTGAGTGTTTAGATACTTAACTTTAGTCTAAGTTATCTCAGTGGGTCTCAAACTGTTTGGTCACAAATTATTCAAAAGATTATTTCCGCGGCACACCTTCATATGATCATTATAGTTATAAAAAAAAAAACAGTTATGAAATACTATATGGCAGTAAAACAAGAATAGAGTTTAAAAGGGGAGTGATTAGTAAAATATCCATAAAGAAAAAGTACATCTGTTTACAGTTCTGTTTCATATGGGTGCTGAGAGAGGTATCCATAGATCTCTTCATTTTGCTCTCAAAGTGCACCAGATTGATGCTTTTAACTTCAATATTTAAAAAAAAATCTTCCCGGGGGAGCATCCCCCCGGACCCCCCTAGAGGAGGTGAGGTCTGCCCCCCACTCATAAAAAATACCACTTTACCCCTGCCTATATGCCGTGAGCTGATTATCGAGCCTTTATTGTAACAGTCGCGGGTGTACTGTGTGTGTG